CTGCTTATTCTCCTCTCTGCCTGATGTTCCTCATTACACCATCCAGGCTGGAGAGAATAAAATCTTAAATGATGTCTGTTCTGTTGCTGTTAGTTTGACCCATGAAAATTCTGGAAACTTTAAAAATCTGTTTTAGAACAGAGCTTCCAACGTTAGAGATATTTCTCATTTGTTTTTAATTAATTTTTTACTTTAAAAACATAATAGGAAATCCAAACCTCTTTACGCTGTTGAACTAGGTTTATTTTGCATTCCCAGCCATTCAAATATCTTGATTATTTTTTAAATATATCTTATATATACGCCAACAAACGAAGGGCAGGGAGGTGGAAGTTGTCTGAGGCCTTTTCCTCCCATTAGTTGATCATCGTGGAAGTTACCAGCATAAACCTTTTATGCATTTATGGGGAAGAATAGAACTCTCTTGTGAATATCTGTATAGAGAGATGTATATGAGATCTGGGTAGCACTTTGCTGAACGTGGAATTGCCCACATGATGTACAGTACATATATATGAATGCAGCAGATCTAAATCTATATATATATACATGAAATGTACATACATATCTCATACACACAATATGTAGTGTGTGTGAGAGAGAGCTACAGATATGTATAATATCCACAAAATGTGTTTAACAATTAAGCAGCTGTGACAAATGAGTTGTTATAGTTCCAGTGAGGAATTTGGATGGCATAAGTTGCTATGACTTGAGTATAGTAACCATTGATCTTGTTATCTGAACCTTCTAAATGGAATGGTACATTTTTGCTTATGTTTATACTATATTAATGTTTTGTGAGGCCTCTTCCAATACCCACCTCTCATGCTGTTCTGTGCCATTACCTTCATCCCAACTAATCTCTCACCCCAACCTTTCAGAATCTAACTTTCCATCAGCAGTCCTCTTTAGAGCCTGATCCAGCTTTCGCTGTACCCCATAGAAAGATTCTGATTAACTAAAGTGACTGCTGAATTAGGCCCTGTGCACGCTCGCCGCTGCTCTCCTGACTGTTCATGTAAATCCAGAACTGAAATACTTTTTCAAAATGATACACAAAACTGTTCAGTATCCCAAAATGTCTGGTTTTTAACATGTCAAGTTAAAAATTCAAAATTATAAAACAAAATAGGGAAAAATCAATCCTTCTTTTTACTTTCCTGACCAAATATCTTCTGTCTATTCATGTATTAAATGATTTGGCTTTTACAAACAATTTTTGTATTTCTTGTTTTAAAACAGTATTTTAGTTCACCTCTTTAAGCATTCAATAACTGTTTATCAGACAGTGACAGAAAAGTCTGCTCAGCCACATTTAAGGATTGTTGAAACTCATGGCTAACCAGTATTTTAGTTTTGCCAATTGTGTTTTCAAGTCTTACTGTTTTCAATATTTTTGTCACAAATCAGCTATGGAATTTTGTCTTCCAAACAGTTCTGTAGGAAAATGTAACCTTATGGTAATGTTCCATCTGTGCTTTCACATGAAGAGTTCTGTAATACATATGTTGGGGTATGTGTATGGGTATGTCTGTGCTGAGTATGTGTCTGTGTATATATTTATATACACACATATATATTACACACAGTATTTCAGTTTTAAGTATATGTGGAGAACACATTCATAGGTTGCCGCTATATACTCATGCATATGTTTATTAAACATGTATATAGAATGTAGATATACTGCATATACATATGTATATGTGCGAATTTTGGTTGGCAATTTTTTACATTTAGCAAAATGCTGTCCCTTATGGAATAATTTCATTGAAACTGATTTTATACATAATGAATGGAAAATAATCATAAAAAATTATTTAAAAAAAGAGACTTAATTATACAAAAGCCATTTGAATGGTCTTTTAACTAGAAGGAGGTTGTTTTAAAAAACTGTTATTCATTAGAAAGGCATCAGAAAGAAATTAAGACACTAGTTTCTGTGGTGTGGGTTTTTTTATGTTGTGTTTTGTTTTCTGAAGCTGAGGAATACAGTAATAGGGTTTTTTCCCCTTTTTGTTCAACTAAACTAACAACTCAAATGTTCCTCCGCCAGACTTTCTCTACACAAACACCTTTGCATCATTTGACTCAGACATTCAATAATATTGATTTCACTAAGGAGGTTTTAATATTCTCCTACCTTTCCAGGAAAAATGTCAATTCATATGCAGTGCTGTATCCAGATTGGTCCGAGGATATAAGAGAGACAAGATGGCTGAGGCACTATCCCTTGTTGGACCAACTTCTGTTGGTGAGAGAGAGAACTTTTGAGATTATGCAGAGTTCTTCTTTGGGTCTGGAAAACTTACTCAGCGTTACAGCTGAAAAAGGTGGAACGTACTGTGTAGTATAAGTGGTTACATATTTCAAGGGACCATTCAAGGTGAAGTGGCTCTTTTACACCCTTTCAAGCATGAGGCAGGAGATGAGGTCAGGCCTAAAAAAGGTTGGAGGAGATTGGTGGATTATTATTGTAATAAGCCACAAGCCTCGTGTCTCTATTCAGTTCATGGTTTTTATTGTCTAGCAAAGCTATGTATTTAAGCTCCCAGGCTCGTCACTTGAAGATGTTGTATAGGTTTCATTTGAGGCTGAAGACTGAGATCAGATACAGAGTGATCACTTTGTGAAAAGTGTTCACCCACAAGTGATAGGGTGCTTTTGTCTTTTATCAGTTTTGTGGGTGTGTTCATTCTAGAGCCTGGTGGTTCTCCTGTTTCATCTAATGTCACAATAACCTCTGTATAGGTGACATGAGGGTAACCACTAAGCTTCTGAACGCACTCCAACAGAAAGACAAAAACATCGTGTCACTTGTGTGTGAATACTTTTCACAAAATGATTGCCCCACACCTGACCTGTCAGTCATCCTCTAAGGAGACTTGCGCAAGTTGAGCCTGGGAGTTTAAATTCATAACTGTGCGAGTCTCTCAAAATCATGGACTGAACAGAGGGATTGGATTTATGGATTTACAACAATCTATAACCAACTAACACTGCCCCTCAACTTTCTCCCTCTCCATGCATGGAGCGTTGTTACCCCTTGAATAGGTCTTTGAACACGTATTAACTACTTCTGCTAAACAGCCTCTTTCATATTCCCAGAACTCAAGAAAGGCCACTATGTAATCTCAAAAGCTTGTCCTCTCACCAACAGAGGTTGGTCCAATAAAAGATATTGCCTCAGTCACCCTTTCAGTTCATTATTATTCTGTTACCCTTTTCGTTCCATGCAGGGGGTGAATTTCTGAAAATACCTGCAGTCAAGCCTTTAGGTTATAAAGGCCGTCAGCAGAAAATACATTTTTCAAAGAATTTCTGCTGTTGTTTCTTCACCATCATGTAATTTTTCCCCATCTCTAGTATGTCTGGGTACAAATAGATGAAAAACGAAGGACACAAGTAAAATATCGTTTGTTTGAACAATTAGCAGTGAGTATCTTTATCCAGATTTACTAGAAAAGAAGGCAAATAAACAATATGAAATGTTGCTGGCTGTCCTAGAGAAGTTGGTGTTTGTGCCATTTTAAAAGGTCGTTTGATAGCAGCTTGATATCAGAAACAGCCTTGTGACAAAGAGCTTCATAGCAATTGTTTGGCCACTAAAGTTTAAAATGTAAACAAGTTGCAGTGGGAAAGCAAAGGTGAGGCAGTGCATTTTGAAACCAGTGAATAACAACTTACAAACATAACTGTTTTTGAAATAACTGCATGGTAGCAAGGACTAGCAGTCTCTACACCCCTCTCTGATTGTACATGCCATACATTGGGGAAAAAAACCTTACAAATGAATTCATTAACTGCTTAAAGGGAACATACAAACTTGCACTGCTGTATCCTTGTGGTGTTAGCTGGAAGACTAGCTAATACACACAGAAAGTCCAGTCCAGTTTGCTTCTGCAGATGCATTGCTTTAAAAGAATGTGGTGGATGGGGATGATTGAGAAGAATATTCATTTCACATACAGTCCCCAGAATCAATAGAAACTTACACTGATGCTTTTAAGTGCTGGAGCACTTGAAGAAAGCATTCCAGGGGTGGGTGGCCAGGTTGGTGTTTGTACTTTCCCTTTAAATAGGAAGAGTTAGCTCACATGTTCCTCATTCTTCTCAATGAATGTACTGTATTACCATTTTAAAAAAAAAATCAATGAAATGATAATAGATTGGTCTCCTTTTGTTATCTGGTCCTTGTTTAATTTGTTTAAGGGTTTTTGTATACAAAAGTTTACATTTTTATGTATATTTTTCTTGTGTAAAAACTGATGTAATATGTGTATAAAACACTGTATGTATTATCTGTATATAGTGTGACAAAATGATTTTCTTTCTTTCTTTTGGATGTATTAATAAATCTTGCTGTGAAGTAGCCTTGTTTACTATAGCGAAATCCCCTCACAAATCATTACTGGTGAATTCATGGAACTGTTAGTACTATTATATTTTGCAAAATACAAGATTTATGACTACTGCCTGAGCCAAACAGATCTTATAGATCAGTTTTCTATAGATGAATGACTGTACTTCTATGTATGCTATGTTTGTATAGATCTAGCAATCTGGTTATGCTTTCACTAGTTGTATGCTGATGTGTATTCTGTTGACTTCAGTGGAATTACTTACTCTTAGCTCAAAGATGAGAATTGGGATCATAGGACATACTCCAGATTCCAGTTTTACTATTGTCCCAACTCCTGAGCAGTGATCCCAGAAAGTGGATTTTTGTAAAGATTCCTTTAATTGCTGTGCCATAATTTGACGTACAATCTGAGGTAATATGGAATAGAACTAGACTTCACATTTGGAGTTCTTTCCATTTTTATACATCGCTATAGAACTGTCTTACTGTATGAGAGGAGGCATAACCACACAACCCGGTTACTCATGAGGTGGATAATTCTTTTGATTCTGTTACTTTTGATTTCTATGCATAAGCTGTAGACAAGACCATGCAAAGGGGTTGTACTATAATTACTTG